TCCACCCTTAGGGGTGGTATTTTTTTTTGAAATTTAAATGGGACCAATCTGGAAGTATACACTTTCAAACAACACAAAAATTGTTCAAATCGGTTAATAAATGACGGAGTTCTGAGGTAACAAACATAAAAAAAAAAAAAAAAAAACATACAGTCGAATTGAGAACCTCCTCCTTTTTGAAGTCGGTTGAAAATGCTAAATATTACTTCAAATGTCATAATATGCGTTATATATATATTATAAAAATAAAAAACCTGACTGCATAAAAGATCACTAAAAAATGAAAATAAGTTGACGAAGGAATATAGTAATATGAAGTCGGAGACATACATAATATGTACATCTCAGCAATCGAGTTTTAATATTTTTATAATATTTTTTCATATTTTGTAGATACTTTAGATTCGTAAATTATAAAATAAGTTACAAATTGGTTAATTATAATATTGTAGATTCAAGGATTCTTTAGAAGAGAGTTCAAAAGCAACATTGTAAGCTTTAACAGGCTCATCTCGTAGCACGAGTTCAGTCAATGGACGTTAACGTATTAGCTATCTGAAGTAGTGTTTAATGAACTTGATAGTATGTAAATTGCTTAACGCAAAATCTCTGGAAGGACAGTTAATGTCTGTTCGAAAACCATTCCAATTTCCGATACACATTATATAGAAATTATAGGTTATATTCACAAGGTAATACTGCGATTTATATATTACAACTAGCATTGCCCGCGGCTCCGCCCGCGTTCGGTTGATCAAAAACCAAAGGTTCTTAGGTTCTTAGGTTTTACATATTAGTATACTCTTACATTGCAGTTTTTGTATTTTTTCTCAAAAATGAAATATTTTCCCGCGGTAAAAAATATCCTATACGTTGACCCGGATAACCAGCTATCACCATACCAAATTTCATCAAAATCCCTCCAGTGTTTTTTCTGTGATGCGGTAACAGACAGACAGATAGACAGACAGACAGACGAAGATTCTAAAAACTGTAGATTCGGCCTCTGTATGATAATAATGTTTATTTCATTAAGATTTTCCAAAAAATATCTAATATACAGATTCAGCTTAGTTACAATTTTATTATATGTATAGATGAAACTAAAATGTGCGGTTAATAGAATAATTGTGTACCAGAATCAAACCATGACCTTGCGATATGTAGATTACTAATGATAAATTTTAATAGCTGTGCCTTAATTATTTTTAATATTTTGTTATGATTTAAGTCTACGTAAACATTAATGATTTCATGGGTAGATAATGAGAATTTGTAGATATAATCGTACTTAATGCCAGTCAGGAGGGCTCGCAACCCTTCTGTTGTTAAAAATGCAAAGGGAGCAAAGCAATACAGACTTAATGATTTTCCACCATAAGTACACATAATGGAAAAACAGTGTTTTAATAAAAAAGTAATGAGGAGTTACGGTTTTGTTTGTTCATAAAAGTTTAATTGCTCTTTTCTTTTCAGATTTATTAGTGGATTTCCTGGTAGTACATAGTTTGGATACTAATTATGCGGTAACATAATGATATAAGTGAAATATAAGTAGTGTTAAATAGTATAATTCTAACTAAATGACCCAATAAGGTTTTTTAAAAACAGATTTTTATCAATTTCAATATATGGAAAATAGAATTTTGTAAATATCAGGGAAACGATGGCGAGAAAGTTTTTAATTAAGGTACCGAGCAATAGTCTACTTTGAACGCGAAAGTGAAGTGGAAAATGCAGCTTAATAAGGCGACCTGGTTACACAAACCTACTGACATTTTCTGTTACCTGGGGACCTCATTTTTGCTCTTTAGACCTGTCTTCTAATGCGGAAATGGAATTGTGTAGCTCGTGTCGTCACATTATTTCGATTACTAAAGGCTAAAATTATGGTTATATTTCCCATGGCATACCTATTTATTTGCTAACTAATTAACTCGGCACGCACTAGCCTGTTCTAATTTTAATAAATTCAATTTTATAAACGCACTAAAATTTTCTTTCCCAATTTTTTCAATTTTCCAAGTAATTTTCTAATTTTTATCTCTTAAAATCTTTTTCAAACTATTACTAACATTTTAAAAATAGAATCGGTCAAATCAGTGCAGCAGTTCTCAAGTGGTAATCCCAAGATTCTTATCTTATTATTATTTTAAATATCATAAGAATATTTATTCAAAATACTTAAAAAGAAAGTTGTACTAAATGGTAATGAAAACAGCCACAATGGCCGTAGCAATTACTTATATTTTTAAAAGAATTCAACAACACTAAAAACTACGTATTTACTTAATAGACAGTTATCTTTTTAATTATAAAATTAAACTTGTTCTTTTCATAATGTATACGTACATATATAGATAAAAATTATAATATTATATAGATAAAGATACAGGTAACTGCTAAACCACCTGATGGCGTCGCTTGACACATTAATGGATTCAAGCACAGCTAACAGGAGTTTAAAGTCAACTGTGTTGAAAGCATTACTGAAGTCAAGCAGGGCTACAACGCTGATTAGTTTCTCGCTCATATTAAATCGTATATCGTCGGATACTTTGAGTAAGGCTGTCACAGTGCTATGACCTTTTCGAAAACCAGATTGGTACGGAGAAAGTATGTTGTGCTGGTCTAAATAACCACTGAGTTGGTTAAACACAATTCGTTCTAAAGCTTTCGACAAAAATGGGAGAATGGAAATTGGACGGTAGTGGGAGAAGCAAGAGGGATTTTTCGTCTTAGGAATAGGGATAATGCGAGCAGTTTGCCAGGTAGAGGGAAATTCATTGGAGGAAAGAGAGAAGTTAAAAATATGGGTAAGTACAGGAGTAATGGTATCAAGAAGTAAGAGGATCATTTTGCGATTTATACCATCACTGCCAATAGCATCAGATTTAATTGCTAGGATGTGTTTCTTAACCTCGAAAGTGCTAACAGGGGTAAAATTGAACATGGGATGATTAGGACGTGGTGTTGAATGGAGTTGGCTCAGTGTGCGAAGTCTTACATTATTATCCATAGGAGTGACAGAGGCAAAAAATCTGTTCAGAGCATCGAGATCAAGTGTATTGTAAGAGACGCTTCTAGATCTGCGACCAATACCAAAAGATTCTAAGAGCTTCCAGGTTTTGGCAGGATTACCATTATCTATTGCAGTATGGATGTAATTCCGTTGAGCGTCTCTACATATTTTATTGCATCGGTTGCGGAGTCGTTTATACTTCAGCAGATTCTCTTCTGTAGGTTTTAATTTATATTTAGATTTAGCTGCGTTACGTTTAGCCATTAAAATTTTAATGTCTTGTGTAAGCCATGGTGCAGGAAGATGCTTTAATTTAATAGGGCGGAAAGGAGCATGTTTGTCAAAGAGGTTAGTCAAAATTGAGTTAAAAATTTCCAATTTGTCATTAATATTTCCAGCGTCAAAAATCGATTGCCAATCAATATCATTCAGATCATTCAAAAATTTATTGTTGTCAAAATTTTTAAAGCTACGCCGCATCACGACCGTAGGTTTTAATTTAGGAGGACGGATTTTATAAGATAAATATACTAGGTCATGGTATGAGAAGGAGTCAGCTGGAAATTGTCCATGGGATATAACAAAATCAGGAGAGGAGACGAACATGAGATCTAGAAGGGACGGGGTACAATTAGGAAAAAAGTGAGTAGGTTTTGTATTCAACAACTGAAGATTGGCACTGTTGACGATGTTTAGGAGACGTTTAGCTCGAGAATCATTTTTGATTACACATGTATTAAAATCACCCATAATTATGGTGTGGTCAACTGAAGGTAAAAATTGTTCTAAAAGATTTTCAAAGATTGCAAAATAATCGATTAATAAGGATGGGCTGTAAAAAACACCCAGCAACAATTTCACAGAACCAAATAATACCTCAATTAAAATATGCTCAGAAGTTTCAGAGTATTGAGAATCGGACTTATGAAGTATAGTGAAAGGTATATGATTCCGAATGTAAATAGCAACTCCCCCACCACCCTTGCCAGTGCGATCATTACGAACTAAGTGGAAATCAGGTAAGGCAAAGGAGATTGAGGGTAAACACGGTTTGAGAAATGTTTCAGATATAAGGATTGCGTGTATATTTTTATTAGTGAAAGAGGCTACAAGGTCAGGATAATGGGAAGGAATGCTTTGAGCATTAATATGCACAACGTTAAAATTCTTAGGAAGGGGAGAGAAAGTGGAATCAAGAAGGGAAGAGAGTGAAATCGAAGAACTATGGTAACTGTCGTTTGATGATGATGCTGAGTGGAAGCTAATGTCGTCATCTGAACTATCATTTAAATACATTATATTTAAATAATTAGATAAACAATTAATATATAAATCAGATAAAATAAGAATAATATATAGATAAATAAAATAATATTAATAATAATATAGAATAATATATAGTAATAGATAAAAAAAATTTAAAAAAATAAATATGGTATATAAAACAAAATAAAGAGTTAAAAAAAAAAAAGATATATAAGAGTCCTTAATCCTTTCACCCACCAGCAGAAGTAAGAAGAAATTAACAATACAGACTAAAGGTAATAAGAATCAAAGTAAAATCTACACTTAATAAAATTAAAAACAAAAAATAAGAATTAAGCACAAATCAGTTAAAGCAAGAAAAAAAAACAACAATCAAAAATAGTAATAAAGATTATAAAGCAAAAGAGATAATCCAATTACACAGATACAAAAACAACATGAAGAGTAAGCATTGACATAATATGACAGATGACAATTTGACAGCTAAAAAGAAAAATTGATAAAAGATAGGTACAAACTACGAAGTTATAAAAGTAAACAAATTACGAGCGTGAATCTACCGACTAAAATACATATTATAAAAGACTTAAATATCCATTTATATACTTTAAAACTACGTAAATAAATATAGAAATAAGGCCATATGGTAATAGTGAATGATCATAAATTAGTCATGCAAAGTTAAAGTAAATATTCAAAGTGAATTGCATTACTTTTTGATAGCTCGTTTTGTCCTAATGTTGGAGACTTTGCCTGTGTTGCTGGGGCCAGAAGAAACGGGAGGAGCGCTGGAGGTCGACAATGGCGCGTCATGGGGCAAAGGCGAGATGGCGTTAAGTTCACCCACCGTGAGAATGCGGCTTTGCGAACCGTCAGCCCCCACAACCACCACGTATCCATCTTTTGTCCAGCACTTTGAGACTCCCAAACGTTGTCGGGCTGCCACGAATGTGCTATGCCGTTCCTTGGTGAGAAACTCTGACAGGGTTATCCCAGAATTCTTGAGGCCTGACTTGGAATACCAAATTTTGTTCCGAAGAGAAAAATTTTTGAACTTAACAAGGACGGCTCTAGGTTTATCAGATCTAGAATGCCCTAAGCGGTGACAATGACTAATGTCATCCTCTTTGAGAGGGATATCTAAATTCTCAGAAATTATTTTGGTAACAACTTGGGACATTTTTTCATTCTTACTTTCTTGAACACCATGGATTAGTAGAATTTTCTTCCGGGATCTCATTTCAAATTCATCTTGTTTTCTAGATAGAACATCAAGCTGCTTCTGGAGGCCCTCTAATGCAGTCAAAACGAAACTTCTAAAAGTGCTAAATTGGGTAGCAATAGTAGAAGCTGGGCTTGTTGCTGATGCCGAAGAAGTTTGAAGTTGTTTTTGAAACTCTGCCATTTTTGAGTTGAAGTGTTCACTAAGCTCAGCAATTGTGTGCTTCATGGACTCCATTTTGTTTTTATTTTTTATTTTAACTATACACTGAAGTTGTGTTAATGTTTTATTTATAATTTCTGCTTATAAGTGCACAAGTGTCTGTATATTATAGAGGAATATAAAGCTGGTAGGTTTAAGGTTTATTTACTAACACATATCACTATATATCTCTTATATTTGATTTTTAAAAACTATAAAATATAGAGCACTCAAAAACATGTGTTAATAGTTAGCACCTACCCACCAAAAATGTGTCGTCAGCAGTGTGTACATATTGATAATAAATCCTCCACCTACTTTCCTCTCTCAGCTGGGGTTCCACAAGGTGGTGTCCTCTCACCTCTTCTGTTTTCTATATTTATTAATACAATTTCCACACTTCTTTCATGTCCCTATCATCTTTATGCTGACGACTTACAGGTTTACGCTGCGGGTCCCTCCAGTGAACTCAATAATACTATTGAACGGTTAAACAGTGACCTACACAAAATTTATTCCTGGAGTACGACGTATGGGCTCCGTGTTAATCCTATCAAGTCACAAGTCATTATTATTGGAAGTCAAAAGTTGACCAACAAGATCGACTTTAATACCTTGTCCCCTGTTAGATTTGGCAATTCCGACCTAGCATACAGTAACGCCGTCAGGAACCTTGGACTGTTTTTCGACAACTCCTTATCCTGGACTGTGCAAATTGCAGAGGTGAGTAAAAGGATGTTCGCTGCAATAAGTTGTTTGAGGCGATGGAAAAATCTGTTGCCTATTAAAACTAAAACTGCACTAGCTCACTCACTACTGCTACCAATTTTAGATTATGCTGATTGCTGCTACCTCGACGTTTCAGAGGAACAGCTTAACAAGCTCGAACGTTTGCAGAATATGTGCATCAGATTTATATTTGGTTTACGTAAATTCGACCACATCTCCGAATACCGTAAGCAATTAAAGTGGCTTCCAATCAGATTTAGGCGCAATTTGCACGTCCTTTCCATCCTTTTCTCCATCCTTTATAATCCAACTACTCCCTCTTACTTAAAGGAACGGTTTAATTTTCTAGGTTCGGACGTGTCTGGTTTGCAACTTAGGTCTCAGAGCGACAACCGTTTGAAATTACCATCTTGCACCACCAATTACTATGGTAATTCTTTTACCGTAAAAGCTGTAAAGCTATGGAATATGCTCCCCCATGATGTTCGCCATTCAAAATCTCTAAATATTTTTAAACGTCGTCTAACTAATTATTATCTGTCTTGTTAGTTATTAAGTATATATGTATATACTATGTATTCATATGTAGTTATGTATCTTATGTATATGTATGTATGTATGTATTTATGTATCTGTGTACATATATATTATACGTGTATGTATATATTTTTGTCTTTTGTATGTATTCATGTTTATAAACGTAGTTCATCATGTCTGTATTTAGTGTTAATTGTACCGTCCCGTCTTCGATTCTTCTAATCCTTTCACCAAAGGTTGTCTGTAAGAGATTGCTCGTAGCAATAAGACCGCCTTTGCATGCCTATTTGTTATTTATTTTTTATTTTTATCTTCTGTAATCTTTTTTTTTTTGTGTGTGCAATAAAGAATTTATCTATCTATCTATCTAAAGATAACCTATCATCAAAGTCTCGAAATAACAAGTAAAAGGTCAAACTGTCTGTAAACTTACCAAACTCACTCTTGACTGGTTTTTATTGCTTTTAACCCTTTATTCTCAGATGCAAAAATAGAATTGTAAACGAGCGACCCTCGTCGTCGTATTGTTTTAGAGAAGAAAAACGTAGCTGTTAATGTTGACAAAGGCCTCTTCAAGTCTAATCCATTAGGGTAGAGTTCCGGAACTGAATATTAATTGAAAGGTAAAAACTCATAAATACGATTTTACAAATATTACTCAAGCCATCATTAATAGAGTATGATACTAAAATACTATGTGATGTTTTTTTTTATATGCTGTAGGTATACTAGCGTATCGCCCTCGCTTCGAATTCGTCTCTAGACAAAATAAAATTTACACGAGAACCGTACATATTTCCGGAATAAGAAGTAACCTATGTGCTATTCCAGACTATAATCTATCTCCGTGCCAAATTTCATCCAAATCCGTTCAACCGTTCTGGCGTGCTAGAGTAACAAACATACATCCATCCATCCTCACAAACTTTCAAAGATTTATCTCGCGTAGTAGACATGACTGCCTTCACTTTAAGACTAGATATGGCGCCGTTAATACCATATATGTTGGCCACAGAAACTACTTGTACTTACACATACATTACCGGTATAAAGAGGTGAAGTTTATGAGTTTTCTTGGACGAACGGAATATATTACTATCGTTTTGCGTGGTGATAGCGTAATCCATGCCGGAGATTGTGGGTTTAAGTTGATCACATAAGATATAAAACTTTAAGTTTTCATTTTTACTTCACTCACTTCTTCTTCGAGTATTCTATGTTTAGGCACTGTTGCGAGCATCATGGCTATGAGTACACTAAAGCTTAATAGATTTCTCTATGGAGATATACTCGCAAATAACTATTTGTATGTAATTCATTGCCATTTGGCCACAGTGCCGAAAGTGAAAAAAGTGTATTCACAGCCCGAAATATATACTTAGTACTTACCGTTGTTTAGACATTCATAATTTCTATGTATATTTTTCCTTGGTACATGCAGTTTTGTGGATAAAATTTCTGAAGAACGTACGAGGAGAGCAGTTCGAGCCTACATAAGGGTAATCAGATATATGCACTATAGCATGTTGTTGGACTGTATGAATCATGTTTAATGCCCTTTATAATGTATTTTAAACTAAATGAAATACATTATCTACTATCTAGTATCCAAGGGTAGGTATCGCACGCTACAGCAACAGTGCGGCGGCAGTGCACTTGACCCGCTTGCTTCACCTTGATAGGCAGAACCTTTCAAACTTTCTAACTATGTTGCTGAAGGTCTTGTACCCATGAAAATCAACTCTTATTAATATTACTTTCAAGAAACCTTTTAAAAGCTTTTTAGTTAAGCTTTTAAATTTAACTTTTAACTTTGACTGACCGGATTATCTGACTTTAATTGTGATTTTAGTTTATCCAGCTTATAGGCTTGGGATAGTGTGTAAGGATTGCAAAATAATAAAGTATGCAGCGTCATAAAATTAAAATATTTTTAACTATAGAAGTGAGTGAAGAGATTAAACATATTGTAACATAATGCATTCATCAACACTTTTTACTAGATGAGTTGCATTCCTGTTTAAACATTTACATATTTTGTTTTACATAAACTACACGGTATAGGCGCCTGTTATGTTGTTTTCACTGCAGTGAATTTCAATGCAGATAATACTCGTAGGTAGTTAAACGCGTTTACTACGTTTCCAAATTTTTTATTTACATAAGCACAATACGAAATCTGACAAAGGCCTTTTATGTAATTCTGTTTAAAATATTATTTTAATATTATACAAAATGTTTTACAGGTTACGAGAATAATATTTAAATTACGAAGCACATGTGACTTATTCTCGCTCTTCGCTTAGATGCGTCTCTAGGTGCCCATTCAGAGTACTAAATTTTATTCAAATCAGTCCAGGCGTTTAAGCGTCAAGACGCAACAAACATATACAACATACACACACACAAACTTTCATATTAATAATTATAATAGTCCGATCTACGTTTCTACGGATCCGTGAAATATGATAAATTACGATATAGATATAATTTGCTTAGAAGTTAGCTTAAAATAAACACTCTTAGAATAAATATAATAAATCGACATAATATAAAAAAGTCTAAAATTTTGTAAAAAAAATATATAATTGTTATGGGCTCGTACAATGTACTTATAAGATAATTTTAGGGTAATAGATACGTATCGTGTAAACGTTTCTGTTATCGTTAAATCTATCCAATATCCATATCAGCCCATAGCATATTGACGCCCACGCGCAGTCACGAGAGGTCGAGCCTTCGTATTATAATTTATAACATCACATGCTACAAATGTCATTCGATTTTATTATTATTTAACCTATTATACTCTTATGTTATATACAAAAAAATACTTTCATACTTTTACGCATTTATCATATAGTTCTAGGGTTGTTTGTTAAAACTGGTTACTCGCAGTACAGTTTTATTCTATCACGTATATATATCATGTCACTTTTAATTTGCATACTCTCGTGGTACGCTCAAAAACGGCTCATTTCAGTCACTGCATACCTTTCCTCAGTAGTTTCACAACTATTATCATTTTAATCCACTTATTACTTCTTTGTATCTCTTTTTAATTTTAACTTAGTTAACTTTAAACCGTATAAATTTTTTCATAAACTAGGCGTATTTATATTAAATAATAACAATTCTAGTAGGTATTTAGAAATTTCTATATTGTTTTTCCTGTGGCGATTTCTTTCTGAAGTATTTTATCTCTTTCTTAGTTTAGTCAAAACATTTAAGTAAAATGTAAAAAGAACAATTCATTAGTATTTGTATGAGCAAGACGATAAGCCAATGTTACTGCAATTGCTGATAGCGCGTGTGTTAATATCGCTTGCGTTATTATTTACTAGCAATGCCTGCGGCCCCGCCCGCGTTCAGATGACCAAAAACTGAATTCTTAGGTTTTACATATTAGTATACTCTTACATTGCGGTTTTTGTATTTTTTCTCAGAAATGAGACACTTTCTCGCGGTGAAAATTATCCTATATGTTGACCCGGATAACCAGCTACCGTCATACCAAATTTCATCAAAATTCCTCCAGGGGTTTATCCGTGACGCGGTAACAGACAGACACACAGACAGTCAGACAGACAAAAATTCTAAAAACCATAGATTCGGCCTCTGTATTATCGATACATTGATAATAATGTCTATTTCAATAAGATTTTCCAAAAAATGTTTAATGTACAGATTCGACTCAGAATTTTATTATATGTATAGATTTAAGCTGTTATTGACATACATGCTCTATTCCAAATTTACTACTAATATAAGACTTGTTTATCTTTGAATGTGAATAAAATAAAACAAAGGAAGAACTTATATTTAATCGATGACATTTTATCGAATTTAAACATCGAATTAAATATCAAAAATTTGTTGGTCTCGTGCGTTGGTGTATCCTTTCTTATTTACTTATTCCATTAACTAATTAGTCATATATATTGTACGTTGATAAAATTATGACGAGATGGAAGTTATATAAGTATAAAACATACATTTTTAAAGAACTTATGTTCGCTATACAACATCAAAAGCTAAGTTTGTACTACAATATATTCAATTAAACATAAGCGGTTGGGCGGAGTTTATCTTCTTGTTGTAGGTACAGTTTTATCAGAACTTTCTGATTCAGAATAGCTAATCATGATTTCAATTGGTCTAGGTCAATACATTAGTATTAAATTTTAAGATTTGAGAAAAATCTCCATAAAGATACACCATTAAGATGTTTTTATAGCACAGCATTAAATACAATTAAATAAAATACACTTTAAGAGTACAATATTATATAATATTAAATATATAAATCATTCTGTATCATATACACCACATCGCTTCTAAAATGCAAAATAATTCGTGTCAACATAAATACATAATTCATAGATGAAAAGCCGATTTAAAGGGTTCCGCTTCAAGAACTGGCAGAACGATTTAGAGTGCCTCCGCGACCACTCGGCGAAATGTTTGATATTCCACGTTCCAGCCATCGCTTAAGTTATCTAAGTAATGATACTTACGTCTATAATTAAAACTTTCGAGAGCTTTTTTAAGGATAAAAACTTCATGTATGTATGTATGTTAAAAGTAGTTTCATGTTAATTTTCTATTACAAAATTAAAAAATAATAATAATCTATTTGTCCTTTATGTGATGAAAAAAATAGACTCTATTTTTAGTTCTTAATTATGACAAAAAATGTAGATCAAAATAATAAAGCGAATATATCTACAGCAAGGCAGTAGCCCAGTGGTAGTGCGCTCGCTTGGGTAACCGAGTGAAGCGGGTTCAAATCCCAGGTGTCGCACCTCTGATATTTTCATATGCGAATCATTTCTAACATGATTACCACTTGCCTTACGGGGAAGGAAAATATCGTGAGGAAACTTGTATGTCTGAGAGAACCTAGCAAGTTTTCGAAAGACGTGAAGTCCACCAACCCGCACTTGGTGGACTATGGCCTAATCACCCTCGTATTGAAGAGAGGCCCGTGCCCAGCAGCGTTAAGAAGTGCTGAATACATATAATTTCTAGTCATGTCTTCGTACATCGTTTCTCAAATCTCATCAAATATTCTTTCTTCTTAAATGAAATTCCAACAAATTAAATAATACTTTTATATCTACAAAAGTTTCAAAAATGTAGCTTGTACCCTGATTATAAAACTTTATTCAATGGAGTACGTTAAAAATAGAACTATCCAAATATCATTAGTTTCGTAACATAAAAGTTTTCTAACATGTCTAGAAATTTTTGTCACTAGTAAATTAAAATGGGTTGTCAAACTAGTACGTACTCGTAAACTCAACTTCTACGAGTAAGGACAAATCGCGTGAAATGAGGTGGATAATATATAGTATACATGTATAAGTTAATTCCTCTTATTGTGGTGGTATTTTATATCCATAGAAACGAAGTCACGAGGCGAATATAGTGCTCAGTAAATAATTAATATCTATCGCCGCGCCGCCCCGTCGACACTTTGTAAAACTGCATCATGTATTTATGCAATCGATTTGTCACACTCGTGGTTTACCATACAATATGGTCTATTGTATGTTTAAATAAATTCAAGCTTTTTAAAATGACTAATGACATTATACTAGGTACTATTACAAATGCCCCATCCCTTACAAAAATATTGGACGATTTTAAATCGACCTATTTTGTTTTGCTTGATTAAACGATAGATGGCACTTAATGGATGTAATTTAATAAAAATATAAGCATTAATATACCTATATAAAAAAATATATTGTACAAGAAGAAAACAATTTCTTTGGTGACTATAGCCATTTGTAAATGGGACACATAAAATGCAAACAGCACCATTTATTAATATGCTTTTTCTAGTAGCAGATTTTTGAGCAAAACTGTAAAATCATCATGGTTGGGAAAATTGTAGTCATGAATTGTTTGATAGTAAAATTGTCAAATCATGGAAACTTGATGTAATATACTTGATGTATAACCCATTGTTTATGAATTTAATAGATTTAAAGTATATGTTTTTATCATTTTAACCGACTTCCAAAAAGGAGGACGTTCTCAATTCGTCGGAATCTTTTTTTATATATGTTCACCGATTACTCGAAGACACCAGAACCGATTCGGAAATATTTTTAGATATGAATAACTAATAGGTAAATATGTGTTTTACGTATCGAAATATATTACATATTAGATTTGCTATGCATCGATTGGCACCGACTTCGAAAATATCTGATTAGGTATCTATTCTAAATGGAAACCCCCGTTTAGTTATTTTTAACATTTTAGTGCTTGGAAGTCGATTTTTTTTTAATTTTTATTATAGTTATAATATACAATATCAATAAACCCATACATAATACGTCATCTATTCGCATTTATTTGAATTAATAGTTTTTCTTCTAATAAAAACAACCAGCGGCGTAATATTAATTCGTAGCGTAGAAAGAGACACATCGCATAATTTTCTATCTTACCCTAATTTCTTAGACTATATTCAAAAGTTTATGTTCAGACGTCTTAAGCCATAATTAGGAATATTTAATTGTTAATTTATGACAAAGAAAACTAATGTGAAATTACCGTGAGTGGGAAAGAGACAGAATACTTTCTTTAAAAAATCGTCATGACTAGAACAATTTTGAAACTTCCATTACGAGACCTTATTTTAAGTTTAAAGTCAAGTGACGATTGAGAAGAGATATAAGAAAGTGGTTGCTAGCATAAAGCGATGTTACGGGTTAGTAGTAATAAAACTAATGGATTCCTCCATAGTGCTCGGATATTTAATTATAGAGTTACTGTGCGTGTATTGCGGGTGTATGAAAAAGCAATAATATTATAGGTGACAAGCCTTAATTTCCGATTCCAAAAGCCGAGCTCGTAACAGTATCTTATTACGCACCAACATGAAAACTTGTTATGAAGCGAATTGCGTCGGACATATTCAGTAGGTTTATCCCAGGGGTAAACTTCCATTTATATCTCAAATCTCTGAACAGATGTTTGTTCAAAACTTCCATCGAGCAACGGGTACGCAGCTGGCAGATTTAATTCGTTTGAAATTAGATACGTACATAATTATCTAGAAAATTTTAATTGCTTTGTATTCTCATACAAGCTTTTGGTATAACTTATAATTTGTCGGCGTGACAGTACATCATTATTATCAAGACACGCGGTAGCGTATCCAGCCAAATTCAAGTCAAAGAAACTGGCGACGCAGCACCTTTTGGTTATTTACACGAACCATTTGGAGCCACTTTTCACCTCGTAATAACTCAAAATGTATTTAACATAAACTCATGAGATTTGGTTCATTTATTAAATTTCTTAGATTAACTAGAATACCCAATTTCATAAATACAGCTCAAACGATTATTGAGATATTAACGTATAAAAATCGGCATTTTATCACTGACTGACATATAGTAGTAAAACTTAACCCACTTCCAGATGACCTAGAAAGTTGAAATTTGGTGTCCAAGTCAATACTTGAACTTCAATTTATCCTAATTTATCTACTCTGTGTAAATAATTCAGCTGTTCAAATTTAAGAAGTTCTATTTTTAAATAGCAAACACTTCTGTAGCAGAAAAAAACAAGAAATTGTGTTTTTAATTTATTTTAGAATGTTGTATGTTCTTATGAAAAAAAAATCAAGATTATCTACAGAACTTGGCATCCATTTAGATCTCAATTCTTTTGTCGGTGAAGTTGTAAACCACGCTTATTCTTAACATTGAACTTGGCTCCCATTTTCACATTTATGTTTTTGAGGGGATTCTTATATATACCTACTATTAAAACATGTATAAGATTTTTTAATTCAATGTACAAACACGAATTACATCTATTTTCAAGACCAAAACGTTGACGCCGTAAAATACACAGAAAGTGTGAATAACAAGATGTGTTTGAACTACATTATAATGAAGTGCCTAAATACTTTAAAAGTTTTCTTAAATTTTGTTGCTAAATTGTTTTTCTAATTCTAAATAATATGAAAAAGAAATACTAAAAAATATACTTTCCCCTCACAACATTTTTAGACAAAAAATGTATACTAAACTTATCTACTTTGACTGATCTTTATAAACTTAGTTTTATCTCACATTCTGAATAGTTCAATAAATGCATGAGAAGAACGACGATTCGATTTATTATAATAATATATTTTGATTTAAGAATTTCCGACAGCAAGCGTTGAGTTCACTTTGTTGTTGAAGAAAAATAGGGTATTTTATAAGAATATTGTGTATCTCTGGCGTGTGCAGATCATATTTCTGCTTCAACTAGAACGATATAATATACGTATATAAAGATAAGGTATAATGTAAATATGATTTTATTGCCTGTGGACTTAGGTTTTCGGTAGTATAATGAGTAGCCAATGTGCTAATGCCGGATATAAACTATCTGCATTCCAAATTTCACCCAAATTTGTCGACCCATTACAGCGCAAAGAAGTAACAAACATACATTCATACACTAATAAGTACTTACTACTGTGACCAATTTGATGCCATATAAAACTTAAAGATAAAGAAAGTATGTAACGATCCCCTCAAAACCATTTGAAAAAGGCCATGTTGATAAGAATTAAAATATATTTCCAAAAATATTATTATCACTTATGTAAGTTAAATTTATAATTAAGAAGAATTTGATATCGTTGAAATATTATTTAATAAACGAGCGTAGGGCGTTGACATAATATTACGTAACATAATTCACACGCCCAAATACCTTTGTAAGAGCAATTAATAATAAAACTATATATTTAATATGAAATATTACTTAATAATAACAATAAATTTAAGGAAGTAAATTATTTTATACTTTATAGAACTATTTATTTCGTAAAAGTCGATGATATAACCCCGGTATCGTTTCGCTCATAACATTAGGTTTTGGAATTCGCGATCGAGACGATATCGGTCTATGAATTGTGAAAATCCATGCAATTTGGAATATTGTATGTTGCCCTCGTCACAAATCGTAAGTTATGTAAATAACAAATATACGTGTACAATAATATGAAATATAAAGTATAATTTATAAGATTCTTATATTTACGAAATTATTATTCTTTGATTTATGAAATATGTTATTGACAATTTACTATACAATCACAATTTGAACGTACACATAATACTGTTTCGGTGATTGACTTTTTTAAGCTTCATTTCCTTTGTTGTTAATAATAAAGACTTATTTTGCATTTCTTTTTTATGTAAATTGTATAACTTAGTTTGACATACATAGGTAAAAATAAATTATTATAATAGGAATCAAATGATTGGGACTATATTCTTATTTGACGTAACTAGTACTAATAGTTACGTCGCAGGGAAATTGTAAAAATCATTCAATTATAATTTCACTAGTGAAATTATAATTTCCCGGAGTTTTGTCAATCGTCTCCTTTTCTTATAATATCACGGGACAATTTGGGTATATTATAATTATTTCACTAAGCACATTCAGTGATATTGTAATTACCTTAGGTAAATTGGCAAAAAATGGCAAAAGTCCGGGTAAATTCACGGTTCTTACAATTTACCTACGACAGTTATAAACTATATTCACTTACCTATGCTTTGACTGACCCAAATGCCCAGCATATCGAGCTGCAGCAACCTGTGGTACAAAGCGGCCCCTTGTGTGTGGTTCATGAACAGATGGTACAAGAAGGAGCCACACCACGGGGCCAAGGCACCAAGAAGATGGCATAACGATAGGAACCATGCGCCGGCACCACCTCCACCACCGCCCCAAGGAAGCAGTCCTGGGAGGACGGCTATCATGTACACCAGGGACACACCTACAACAATATTTTTTTATTAAAATTTAAAACTAAGGTACCTAACTAAGCGAATTACTCTCTCAATTTTGTTGTGTTGTACTTACATTTAATTTTTATTTTTCAAATAAGAAACTCTTGTCTATGAATAAAAATAGTAAAGTTTGAATAAATAGTCCATATGATAGTTTTTTTTATAATATAAAAATAAGTAAATAATAAATAAGACACTTTTACTAAAATATCATTTCATCACTTATTTATAATATTATTAATAGTGCATAATATTTTAAAGTGGTTAATAAGCAAAATGTTTTTAAGTTTGATATTTAGGGTTAATATTTTGGGTCTGGCGTTGAGCCTTCATGAATCATGTCTTTACCAAGTAGTTATCTAAACTATTTTTTTTGTTTATTTTCATGTGTTTGTATATCGTTCCAGGCATAAAATTAAAGAATGCGAATGTTTCGCAGTAATTAAAAATTAAATTATTGTGAAGTTGGCGGGTTCATTTCGGATAGAAAGTCACTTTGTAAATTTTGTTGGGATAAACCGTCAGTAATATAGTGCAAACCCATTTATTTATTTTATAGTCAACATGAAAACCAGTTTCAAAATAGAGTACAATAATTTCAACTGCTAAATAGCTTTAGTATGTTTCAATGAGATTCTGGGAATGATTGCCCTATGCGATAATTAATGTAAAATCTGCAATATATAATTTACTAACGACTGACCCTCGCTTCACTTTAATGCGTCCCTAGCTGAATCAGTACAGCCGTTCTCGAGTGATGTGCTTACCTTATTTATGCTTATTTTTTTTATAGAGGTAGAATTAAATGTTTATTTATATAGATAGCTCTATTTAATGTCCCACTGCTGGGCACGGGCCTCCCTTCAATACGAGGGGGATCAGGCCATAAACATGGCCATAGTCAGGGTAGAATTCACAACATGTCTTTCAAAAACTTGCTAGGTTCTCTCAGACATGCAGGTTTCCTCACGATTTTATGCTTCACCATAAGGCAAGTGGTAATCATGTTGGAAATGATTCGCATATGAAAATATCAGAGGTGCGAGACCCGGGATTTGAACCCGCTTCACTCGGTGTCTCAAGCGAGCGCATTACCACTGGGCTACCACTGACTTCCACTTGCTAGTATCGTAACATTATTACGTTTGCGCTTAACATAGCCAATGCATCACGTAAGTCAACGCTACTGTTAACTATTCTAAGCTGTTAATCAACTTACTTTTCAACATAAAAACTTTTACAAACTACAGTAAAGTGAGCACTCAACGTTGTAGAGTTTAAGACAGTACCCCGTTGGGATAAATTAACTTCATCCTAAGCTTTCGAAGCTAAAGGGAATAATACAAAGAAGGTATTATTATAAAGATAGCGAGCGACATAACATTTTAAACATGTATATTTGTATAAAGAATGATAATGTTTTTAATATAATAGTTATTTCATCTATCTATAACAGGTATAATAACATTGTTAAAATTATAAAATTCGTTATTTTTTTTAATATTGACTGGACTTTATTTAAAAGAAAACTTTTAATTTACACGCATTATTCAAACTAGGGGTCGGAATTCAAAACAACTTTTTTTGCAAATATTGATTGAAGTATATTATATACAATATACATACATATATGTATGCTTGAATTTTCGTTTTGACCGTCTTCAAAAAGGAGACGACACTCAATTCGTATGTTACGTGAGATCTTCGCGAAAAATGAACTAGTTATCATAAATCTTTTACTAATAGATTAGAAGCCTTAAGATTAATACAATAATATTTATTCTTATGGTGACGACAGCTGAACTACTTAAATTGAGTACATACGCCTCCTTTGGTGAATTTAGGTATGCCTTAATGCCATTTGCTTTAGAAACCCATGGAGTCGAAGTGTTAAACACTTCGTCTTATAGCCTCTACTGGTGACAAGTGAGCTGGCTCGTTTTTCGCCAAAAAAAATCGGTGTTGCCATTTAACATTTAACGGAGAAATTCTTGGCACGCGGACATGATTTGTACAGTTATAATTTAGTGTACACATTATTTAGTTAATTAAGTATATTTGACATTTCAATGTATTTCCTTTAGTTTAGGAAATTATACATCTTTGGTGTAACAGAACAAAAATAGCTAAAGATTTCATTCCGTATATCACAACTCTCTGATTGTAAAAGGAATGCAGCTAACTTCATGTCACTGTTTGGCTGTTGGTCTACGTGCGCATCGTAAAAATTCTACTCTCATATTTTTTCCAAACGTGCCAAAAGAAGTATAACTTCTAAAATCTTTTAAATATATGTATTTGAAATCCAATATTCCTACCTACGTCCTTTTCATCAAAATGACAGACTTTAGTAATAATAAATAATATTTACCTGAAAATAACAAAATACCCGCGACAATAGTTCATGTTTCCCTAATAAAATGTGAAACATGCTGATAGTCGTGGACGTCACATCAAGTGTATGCGAAACGGCACGTAGAGCTTAAGACAAGCAACTGATACGTTACATCAATATTACGTCACGCCTACATATTATGTATAATATGTAAATATTGATTTGTCCGTTGCATTGTAAATAGTCATGTTTGTCAAATGCAATTTCTAATGATAATATATTCGAGCCAGATATTTTTTTTGGCCATAAGGACAATGTTCCATTTATAAATATATTAATAATGGCTTTAAATATAAAAACAGATATACTTCGTATTCTATCAAATTAAACCACTACTCTTACGCTTTATCTTTCTGTTCTAAACTTTAAAATATCTATAAGTATTAATAAAAATGAATGCTCGTATGTTTGTCCTCTTTGCGTTCCTAAATCACGTGCCGATTGTAATGAAACTCTGGTGGATTATTCTGTATACGCCTGTGAAAGTTCCTGACATAGAAGATCTTTGGATAGTTGTCTTTTATACGTTCCTAAACCAATCAAGCTTAAATCTCAAATTACTGTTAAATAATCACTCGAAATAATGAATATTCATGAAAATCGATTTCTAATGTTAGCATCCATTAGAAAATAATAATAGACATTGTATTTACTAGGACAAGTTAAATATAATAATTATTTTGCCGAGCGCACACTACCATTACTAAGGTACATTGATAAATACTTCGTGTTGTAGTGTATTTTATTCTGAGAAATAGTTTCATATGCTTAGATATTGATTGAATATCAAAAATGCTTATAAATTTTAGATTCCATAGTAGCCAGGTTTTCGTAAGTCATACTGAAAAATTGTAAAGGCTAGACTGTTAAAATAACACTATCTATTAGACCTTTCATACTTAACGAAGAAGGTGAAATAGAATTATATCTTCTCCCTTATCAAAACTACTGTTCTAAGACTTAAGAGCTTTTTCTAGTAGTACCGAAGATTAAAAATTAATAGGAAAGAATCGTAAGTGGATGTCCATAAAATTAGAGCATGAAAAAATTGTTTTCTTTTAAAAATATCAAAGAGGGAAGATGGAAAGCTCGCACAAGAAACGCTTCGTAATAATGGAGGTCTGTACCATTAATCAAACCACAAATAGGCGGACCATTTGCGTTCCAACTTCTTACATTGAGTCTTGCGTATTGTTGCGTAATAATTATATAAGATTTAGGTAAAGATTGCTTCGTATTAATAATCTATATACATATAATAAAATTGTAACTGAGTCAAATCTGTACATTAAATATTTTTTGGAAAATCTTATTGAAATAGACATCATTATCGATACAGAAACCGAATCTATAGTTTTTATAATTTTTGTCTGTCTGTCTGTCTTTCTGTCTGTTACCGCATCACAGAAAAACTACTGGACGGATTTTGATGAAATTTGTTATGGTCATAGCTGGCCAGCCGACTGTGAAAGTAACTGACGGCCGTCGCAGTGTGCTAACAATAAATAACGTTCGGACGTCGAAGTCATCGTTTATCTTCAGAACCTACTATGAGATTGAGACTTGTTTTGTTGTGGCATAGTTTTTTTATTCATTGATAACTATTAGTGTCAAATGTATAGATATAATTTTTATCATAATATGTAGGTGTCAATTACAAAATTGAAAAAAAAATCAACCACTATGATAAGTGCAATTTTTGTACGTATAATATTCAATGTGGTGTTGATTAATAAAAGGTTATTGAGTTTAAAAAGAGATTTTAACAAACAGTTTTGAAGTTAAATGTATATATCATTAAGTTGCATCTAAAGATACTCTTTTTGGCTGTTTTTTGGTATGGCGATACACTGAAACGAATTTATTATGAATTACATTAATATAGCTATTTATTAAAAAACGTAGACCGGTCTCGAAATCATAAAAAAGTGGAAATACTCCATCATTAGCCCCCCGCTAATTTCTTTTGAAATTTATATGTTGACAACCCAAAAATCGCGAAATTCGGTTTTGCAAAAATATCCCGTAAAGAACAAAAAAAGAAATTCAAAATACAGGCAAATCGATTACCTCCTCCTTTTTGAAGCTGGTCAAGAAAAACGCAAATCTTATAACATAAAAACATGAATTATGACATTTTCATGAATTCTTTTCTAAAATATCCATAAACACGTCATAAACTTATTCGATCAAAAACAACTAAAATTATTACGAAGCGCCCAAGTGAAGCTGAAATGATTCACTACTCGATAACATTTTAAGGTTTATATATGAAACTAGAAAATACATACTGAAAATAAAACTAGGGTTTTCATTAAGTGAACCATTCTTTCACCATCTATCAATTTTTTTCAGCTTTTCTCGAATGCTATGTTCAAGTCCAGTAGCCTCGATTTCTTTTTGCGCTGTCAGTGACATTCGCGCCGCAAATATAAATTGTAACGAGGATCATAAAACACAACGCAGATTTTATGAGAGTTGTTGCAGTTTGACCATACGAGTTCCCCCCCAACGTGCGTTCACCTTGTCGTGGTGGGGGGGCTCAGTAGTGCCCGGCAATCCAACCGGGCGCGAAGCTAAGAAACGCACAGG